TCTCCTGGGATGACAGGATGATGATAACGAGCATCACCGCTGCTGAAGCCTGGAACTGCTTATTTGTGCACCTCACAAAATAGCAAAAGTTTATTCAGCTCTCCAATCCACCAACTGCTCAAGGTTTTCAAATTTATTTGGCTCTAACACTCTTCACATAATCCACAGGGATATCTGATCATTAGAAGATGAAAAGATGTAGCAGCTACTCACTGCTAGCAGAGCCTGGTGTGGTCACCAGAAAAGAGTTCAACCAAGGCAAATACCCTGGCAAGGGCTCTACTTTACATGAGGTACTGCCTGGGGATGAGAAATCCCAGGGGCAGGCCAGCAAGAAGCATGAGTTGTCTAAGATTAAGAAATGACCACATTTCCTCACTTTAATTTAAACCAGTGATTTAAGTTCACTCTGAGATGTCTAAATTCATTCCATTTAGGGATATTAGATGCTACAACTACTGAAGAATGACGCAAACTAAAGGACTAAGGGAAATATCAGAAACCATGAAAGTCAACAACCACTGAAGATTTACTTAACTATTGGGGTGGAAGTGTTACAGAGCAGTAGGTTCCTGGTATCTTCAGGATTAATGTCCTTGACTTTAATTATCTGAGAGAAACTCCAAGAGTTCAAAACATAACTTTTAATTTTTCTGAGGCATAAACATGTCTCATATATTCTCTGAGGCTGGGAAGCAGGAGTAAGACACTTAGCTACTGAGTCAACCTAGCCAACCTCTGTTACTTACATTTTGAAGAGTTTCATACAAATACAACAGTACTTAGGAAGTCATAAAAATGTTTCTTTAAAAAAAAAAATAGTCTAGAGAAAAAGACCCAATGTAAGGGAAGGGAGAAGAACAGAACTAAAAGTGATGTTGTAAGAATATTAGTTCTGACCATACTACAAAGCCACTGTGATAAAAACAGCATGGTACTGGCAAAGAAACAGACCTGAAGACCAGTGGAACAGATTGGAAGACACAAAAACAACTCCAGATGCACTCAGCTACCTCATCTTTGACAAAGGAGCTGACAGTCCCCACTGGAGGAAAGATAGCCTCTTTAATAAATGGTGTTGGAAAAACTGGATCTCAACTTGCAAAAGATTAAAACTAGATCCTTATCTATCACCATGCACTAAATTAAAATTAAAATCCAAGTGGATTAAAGTTCTAAATATAAAAACAAGAACACTAAACTTACTGGAAGATAAATCAGACAGAACTCTGGAAGACATTGGCATAGGAAAAGACTTTATGAACAAATGCTCAGTAGCACAGGAACTAGCAGAAAGAATCAATAACTGGGATCTCATCTTATTAAAAAGCTTCTGCACTGCAAAAGAAACCATCAATAGAACTAAGAGACAACCTACAATGTGGGAAAAACTTTTTACCAGCTGCTCCTCAGACAAAGGACTATTATCTAGAATATATAAAGAACTCAAAACAACCAGCCCCCCAAATATAAAGACCCAGTTCTAAAATGGTCATCTGAAATGAACAGACATTTCTCAGACAAAGAAATAAAAGCAGCAAATAAATATATGAAAAAATGCTCCACATCACTGGTCATTCGAGAGATGCAGATGAAAACAACATTGAGATTTCACCTCAACCCACAAAGAATGGCTGATATCAAGAAATCACACAACAACAAATGTTGTCAGGGTTATGGGGAGAAAGGAACCCTTCTCCATTGTTCGTGGGAGTGCAGACTGGTGCAACCACTATGGAAATCAATATGGAGGTACCTCAAAGAGCTGGGACTAGAGGTTCCATTTGACCCAGCCATCCCTCTGTTGGGTATCTTTCCAAAAGAATTAAAAGAATCATACCACAGTGATATATGCACACCCATGTTTATAGCGGCACAATTTGTAATAGCTAAAACTTGGAAACAGCCCATCTGCTCATCAGTTGGAAACTGGATAAAGAAGATGTGGTTTTTCTATAAAATGGAATACTACTCAGCCATAAAGAATGAGAAAGTAGATTCATTCATAGGTAAATGGGTACATTTTGAGGATGTACTCCTAAGTGAAATAAATAAGTCACACATATGCAAATACCGAATAGTTTCTGTGGTGTGAAAAATTAAAATAGTACTCAAGATCCTAACGGGACAATTAGCAATGTGAAATAGGAAGAAAGGACCAAAGGTGTAGGGACAGTGAGAAGGATAGGGAAAGGGGAATAAGGGAAAAGGAAAAAAATATGAGAAAATGTAAAAATGGAATTAAAGTGTTTGAAGGTGGGGAGGGGAGGAGGGGGTGAAGGGAGGGTGGGGACAAGGGGAAAAAATGAGAACCAAGACCTGGCGTGTAAAAGTACAAGATCCCAATAATGAATGTAACTGTATTGTCTACCTAGAATGTACCAATAAATTCAATTAAGAAAAAGAATATTAGTTCTGATTAAAGCAAAAGATGAGATGTCAAATCAAACAGCAGCTCAGATTTATGGTGCATAAGAGTTCTTTATATAATCTACATGGAAACAGGAAAGAGCAATTTTATGGTATTCAGGAGGATTCCAGACCACAAAACTGGACATCATATGAACAAGTAATCACGGAAGGTCTTGAACAAATGCTTTAAGGTATAAGTACTGAATGGTTTTTCTGGTGTGAGAAACTGAAAGTACAAATAAGTATCAAAATGTATAATAGATAATGGGAAATAGAAAGGAAAGGTCCAAAGGGCAAGGGGAAGTAAAAGGGGTAGGGGAAAGAAAAGAAGGGAAAGGAATAAATATGACAAAAGGAAAAGATAGAAACAGTCTTTGTAAATAGGGAGGGGTGGAGGGGTTGAAGGAAGGGCAGGGGGAATGGGGGAAAAAATAAGAACCAAGATATATAAAGATACAAATTCCCAATGATGAATATCATCATACTGTATACCTAAAAAGTACCAATAAACTTAATGAATAAAAAAAGAAAAGAATGTACCAATAAACTCAATTAAAGCTGAAAAAAAAAAAAAAGAATACTTTAAAGTATAAGGACATGGACAGTGCCTAACTTATTCATCATGATGTGCCCAGGACCTTGAACAGGGCCTGGGCACAAAAGAGGTGATCAGTAAATACTAAATTTGAATCACTGACATCAATGATTTGTTACAGAAATATATACAGATTTGGGACAAATTTCTCCCAAGATTATGTATGGCACTTTGTCTCACAGGATGGAATTCTAGGAGATAGTTTCTATTTAGAAATTGGAACTACTGCATTTTGCCATGGACAAAGCAAAAAAGAAAAAAGAAAAAAAAATCTAAAAGAGAGAGGGAACTTCCAGATGCCAGCCAAAACACCCATCACCATGGACAAAAATAACCAACAAAGCAGCCCCAGAGTTCCACGGAGGCAGGATCACTCTCACTGAAGGATGAGGGTGTGTTTAGCTTACTGAAAGTTAAGAGGACATTTGCAATTAGGATTTTAGTATCAGAATTTAAACTAAGGATATTGCTAAAGGCAATCTTAGATTTGAAAATAAATGTTTTTTAAGGGTTGGAATCTAGTCTATTTCAGATTTATATTTAAACAGAAAACACCAAAAAGGTAGTAGAATAAGTAAATTTCAAAAAAGAGCAGCTTCATTTTTATTTAGCAAAATCAAAGAAAATTGAATAAATTTTCACTAAAATAGAATAGCTTTTTAAAATGCACCTAGATAGAAATAACTAGAAATATTTTTTAAAATCAAAACAAAGTCAAAAGGGAAACTCTAACTAAAAGCTTATTTGTAACATTTTAAATTTCAATAGCTATGTTTTTAGAATACAGAAATTGGAATAAATCAAATCATATTTTGCAAACAGGAATCATGTTAAAAGTTTTGTTGTATTGTTCTGACAGATATTGAATAGGTAAAAAGTTACCTAAAAGGATGAATCATAATGTATCTGATCAGCCCTTTAATGAGAATTAGATTATTCCAGTCTTATGCCATTACAAATAATACAGCACTGAGCATACATCTTCTTACATATGGATAAGAATATTAACAGTTCACAATGAAACTGTTTGAAACTCCAAGAAAGAATGAAGTACTCAATGTGGTATTTTAGAAAACATTCTAAAACATAGTGTGAAATGAAAATATCCGAATAGTTCTTATGGAGTATATGTTCATCTGTAAGAAAAAAAGGAGAGAAGACACAAACAAGGTTGAGCATCTTTAATTTTAACATTAGAAATCTGAAATCCAAAACCTTTTCAGCACTGACATGATGCTCAGAGTTTTTGGGTTCTGGAGCAGTTTGGATTTGAATAGTCAGATTAGGGATTCCTCAGTCTGTAAAGTCCATCCAAATATTCTAAAATCTAAAAAACTCTGAAATCTGAAACACCTCTGGTCCCAAGCATTTCAGATAAAGGCTAGTCAATCTGCACATATGATAAAAATTTTCTATCAACCTGGTAAAAATATCCAAGTGTGAAATTACCTTTGTGTTGGCCAAACTGTAAAAAGAGGCCTCTCTTATACACTGCTGGTAAGAATATAAACTGGTAAAACCTCTTGGAAAGCAATTTGGAAAGTAACAGCTATTAAAATTACAAATGTATAGACTCAAGAGAATTATGTGCAAAGTTATATACCTACAAGGCTGTTGATAACAGCACCGTGTATATAATCTAAAGCCCTTTAGTAGGGAACGGATTTAAGTAATGAATTTTAAGCATTAATATGATGTAGTTATAAAAAATGAGAAAGCCCTGCGCTGATAAAGAGAGGTTGCCAAAATACAAACTTAAAAACCAAGATGTCAAACACTACATATAATATATCATATATACTGTCATTTCTGTTAGAAAGGGGATGGAGACTGGGTATGTAGGTCAGAAACAGAATGCATGCTTAGTACACACAGAGCGCTGGGTTCAATCCTCAGCACCAAGAAAACCAAAATCAAAACAAACAAAACGAAAAACTGTAAAGGGGAGTGCGGTTTATAGAAAATACACAGCAAATTGAAATGGAAAACTTACTTGTAAAGGTAATACTCTGCGTGGTCTATTTCTTCTCGAGATGAAATGTTGTCCACAAACTAAGAGATAAAAGAAATCACTGGGTTAAGTACAAGTTATGCCATGCATGTGGCGTGGTTCAAACACTGACCTTAAAATGGGACGTCCATTGTACTGGGGCAATGTTCGTGTGGTATGGCTCTGTCCTTGAAACTGCTTTATAATAATGAAAAACAAAGAATATACAGTGGCTTCTCTTTCTCATGTGTATAGAAAATGTAACTGACAGTCAAATTTGAACCTTGCTCAGAACAAGAGAGACCTCCTCCTATGATTTGTAACTAGTTATTACTTCTCAGTGTTGAGCCCTAATCTTTCCTCTATACCCTAAGCTCCAAATACATGAGAACACATGCTGAAAGGATAAAAACTCTAATGGCTGAAAAAGTATTGCCTAGCACACAGAAAGCTAAATTTAGGAACTCAGCTTATAACTACTTTTTCTACTCTGGTTTAAGTTCCTCTGTGAACTAGCAAATGTATAATTTCTCTTAATAAAATCTCTCTTCAAAACATAGAATCTTTGAGTATACTCTGTAACTACAACCCAAATAAAGGAACAGAAAAAACTATTTCAAGGATGGATTCTACCCTTAAGCAGAGGCTCTGAGGCAAAAAAAAAAAAAAAAAAAAAAGAGAGAGAGAGATGGT